CACCAAATTTTGTCTGAAGTTAGGCAAATCACCTGGAGAAGCGTACGAAATGATGAAAAGTGTGTACGGTAGTGATTGTTTGAGTCGCTCGAACATTTTTCGATGGTATCCTGTATTTCGTGATCGCAGGGAGGACACTGAAGATCAATGCATCAAAGCTGAGAAGAAGTCGCACTGAAGAAAATGTGGGAAAAGTGACCGTAATCCTTGCATCAGACAGATGTGTTTCTGCAAGACTCATCGAGGAGCTTTTGGGAATACCAAAAAGTACTGTGCATCAAATTTTGACCGAGGATTTGGGCAAACGGAAGGTCTGTGCGCGGTTTGTACCGCACGCGCTGTCAGGTGATGAAAAACATGCCACAGTGGAACACTGCAAAGACATGTTACGGTCGGCCCCAAGTGATACAAAATCTACAAAATCGATTGTTACTGGAGACGAGACATGGTGTTTTCAATATGAGCCTCTCACAAAGCAGCAGATTGCAGCGCGGTTGAGCCCAAAGAAGCCGCTACCAAAGAAAGTGCGCATGCAAAGAGTAGAGTAAAGACACTGCTAACCGATTTCTTCGATTCAAAAGAAATCATTCGCAAGGAATTTCTGCCAGAAGGTCAAGCAGTGAATTCTGATTACACGACACCATCCAGGATATCCAAAGGGAATGTACTGCAGTTTTAAATACAATTCCATAAAAGGAATACAGTGACTGTTTTCGAAAACTTTACAATCGATTCCAGTTATATACTGTGTCAGAATGATACCATTTTGAATAAAAAGAGTTATATTTTGAAAATAATTCACATCTTGTATTTTTAATGAACACAGTCCTAACAAAACCTGGACACACTGTGTATATGAAAAGGTAAAGCTATCCCTGTAACAGGCCGTGGAGGCCCATGGGGTTGTGAGAGGTCGAGGCTCCCACATTTTCTAGACAATCGGCTCACAGATGGCGCTGTGGTAGTCTGCCTTACCCGCCAGCCATACTTTACTCCTCAGAAAGATTCCTGGTACTCATTTCTGCTTTATACAGCCTCTCTTAAATATCTTTCAAGGAATATCGTACATTGAGGAAGCAACCTTAAGAAAAAAATGTCTTGTGTTTTCAGTGAAACCTTCAACATGACAATTTTAATTCCTACAATACAATTAAAATAGGATCTTGTAGCTTTGTAACGATGACGTAATGATCTCGTCATTATATTTTAGCTTTTAGAGCATTTACTATGTGATGACCACGAGATTGGCAGATATAAGATGGCCAGTTCTAGACAACGGCTCGGTAAAGAGTTTCGTGCAGCAGCAGACACGAAAACAAGAGTGGTAAAGCAAAAAAGGAACGGTGTTTCTATGTGGTCCATCCCTAGGTGTTATAATCAAGACACGGTTTATAGTTATGATCTGCTTTGCAAAACTTATACTGACAGAGCACTTGTATATAGCGCAAAAACAAGAATTTTCAATAACATGCTATATGTGCGATATGTACGACTGACGAAAAGCCAAGCATATTCATAAGAAACAAACCAATTTTCTTGTCGGTGACGGTGTTACATAAGGACTATTACCGCAAGAGTTTTGATGAAAAGGGAGTCTCTGGTCGTGGGTCTCAAGGGGATTGGCGCCAAGACGAACTGATTGGCGGTAAACCGTCAGTCGTAAAGTAACTTTGATTTTTACTTTGACTTTGAGCTTAGTCAGTTGATAGGCGGTGAAGAGAGGACTATGAAGTTGGTGTGAAATGGCTGCGAGTTAGCTACAGGAGTGCTTAGAAGTCTAATGGTGGCGGACGGTCTCGAAACGTTCGCAAGGAAGTGAACGTGACAAGAGGAGAACACATCCAGGCGTTCGTGTAGAGAAACAAAACAGAGCCATCAAGAACCTGCCGGAACTCGAACCCACATATTCTGAACAAGAAATTCCGAAATACTGCCGCCACACTAACCTGCTACCCGTATAAGTACTTCAAAGACAAATTTTGCCTCTTAGTTTAACAAAATATTAGGCCATGAATACTTAAGTGGGGTGTATATACAGTATATCACTCTGCTACAAGGCGGAAGGTTTCAATACGTGATGAGGTAATTGGATTTTTCAATTGACATAATTCTACCAGCCTCACTATGACCCTGGAGTCAGCTCAGACTCTAACAGAAATGAGTACCAGGAATCTTCCTGAAGGGATAAAGGGCGACCGGCGCGTAAGGTTGACATCTGTGAGCCGTTTGTCTAGAAAATGTGGGAGCCTTGAAGTTTCACGACACTATGGGCCTTCAGGGCCTGTTACAGGGATGGCTTTACATTACTCTGCATTCTTGATACCAGCACTAGACATAGGTGAGTGGTCAGCTTCATGTCTCGGCTGCTTTGCCACGAAGGAAATGGACCGCTCTATCTATTGGATAGGACGTTAAATGGGTCCCAGACGCAATTTGTTTGCTGTGGAGAAATTGTTAATATACTGCCTCTGCCTGGAATGGAATTCCCGGTTTTATCCAGCATGCAGCCTTGTCATAACATTAATCAGCTCAGACATATCTGTGTTCACAGGGTACGGTCCTACGAAACATGGATAGATACGTGACAAACCACAGGGTATCATAACCTAACAGACAGCGATAGGAACCTAAACCATCCTGAATATTCCAGTGTCTCATATATCATTCCCATAAGGTCATAGGTACTATTATTAAGGGCCAGATTCAATGATTTCTGAAATGACTTTTGATTTTTGTGGAACTCAGTAGGGAGGTTATGCTGACTTGCTGTCAATCCTAAATCACTGAAAGAAGAATTTTTAGCTTTGAGGCCATGAACCAAGAGATTAACTGTAGAGTTTAAAATGTCTTCATGGAATCGGTTTAATTTTACATCCAAGGAAATCTGATTCTGCGCCAAAAAAATCATAGTCACTTGGAATGAAATACAGCCAAAGGAGAGGTTGGAAGCACGCCCGACATGACTGCGTACGTAACCCAGAGCGACAGAGGAGAGGTCACTTCAAAGATGCACTCTGAACTCCCGAGAAATCTGGGAAGTGATTAAAATGAAGAATCTACTTGTAAAATTTGTGACAGTCATAATAAGGTTAAGAATTCCTTGATAGCTTAACCTGAAGGCTCGACACCACCAAGACCGAAGCCTGCCCTTATGCATGAATTCGATCCACTTCATTTTTCTCCTGTTAAAACAAATTATTTCCTTACCCTACACCCTTCACCTTCTTTGTCTTTCAAATAGACTTCTTTCAAGATGGTTCTCGCATCAAGATTCTGTATGAATTTTTTGTATCCGCTTGCGATTTCCATGTAATCCATACTAATACTACTACCAACAGCAACAATAATAACAATAATTCAATTCGATTCAATTCTTGTTTATAAACGTTCAAATTTAAGAGCCCAGAGGCCACTTACAAAATTGGCACGAGCGTGTAAAATCAATAAAAGCTTACAAAACAAAATATAAAATAAGGCAGTTTATGATATAATAACAGGGCACGCGGTAGCGTAGCTGGTTGAGGAACTATGCTACAAGCCGGAACGTAATGGGTTCGAGTCCCAATGAGGCGATTTTTTTCAACTGACCTAATCCTTCCAGCCGCACTATGGCCCTGGGGTCGACTCAGCCTCTAACATAATTGAGTACCAGGAATCTTCAGGGGGGGGGGGGGGGAAGGGCGGCCGGAGCGTAAGGCTGACAACCTTAACGCCCTCTGTGAACCGATTATCTAGAACAAATGTGGCAGCCTCGATGCCTCATAAACCTATGGGCTCTCACTGTTATAGAGATAGCTTTACCTCCTTTTACCTTATTCAAAAATAACAATAATACAAATTCCATGAAAGATCCAAGTTATAATTACAGGTGAGAAGAGCAAAATAAGTACATTTGCAATGGTTACGCAATTATGCGGCAAAAAACGATAATATTCGTACACGTATACATGTAATAACCGCAATAATATTTATACCATACTATAAAAACGGCTGGACCGCCTCTGTGGTATAGTGGTCAGCGTTCCTGGCTACAGATTCAGAGGTCCGGGTTCGATTCCCGGCGCCACCAGATTTTTTTCGGCGAAGTAGTTGGTTTGGAACGGGGTCCACTCAGCCTCGTGATGATAAATGAGGAGCTATTTCAAGGAAAAGTTTGCACTAAACTTCGCCGACAAGCGACGGTCGCTCGGTCGGTATAGTTCGCTTGCGGAATAAAGCCACGGAGTTAGTTTTTGTTTTATAAAAACGATTGAGGAGAACTTTCCTGGCCTCGAATATGTTAACGTCCCTACAAACAACATTAGCAGCCGCTGCACATCTAGCAGAGGAACAATTTTTGCATGAGGAGCAAACATTGAACCATGCAAAGTCTCCGATATACCGAGCAGGAACTCGGAGACCAACAATTTCCAAAACAGAGAACTCAAGTGTAATTCATGAGAAGGTGCACCATGCACCGAAAATTACATTGTGGGTCACCAGATCAAGTCTTGGACTACTAGGGTCAATTTTCTTTGAAGAGACAGTGAACAGTTGTAAATCAATATTTAAGGTATGAAGTCAACGTGTAAATATTACTTTGTTGATTTTCATGCTTCAAGGACTTACTTTCAAATCGTGTCCTATATGAATGCGTAGTGGAAAGAGTATGTACATTGCAGAGTGCATGTGACAGCCTGTTTTAGAGATGTGATGTGCGTGACTATAGACGGGGTTTTGGATTCCTGGATTTATTGACCACTTACAGGAATACATGTAGTATACTGGTGGGAAAGCCAGACGGAAAGAGAACACTAGAATAACCAGAACATAAGTGGGTGGGCTATATTAAAATAGATCTGAGAGAGATAGGATGGAGTGGTATGGGCTGGATTGACGTGGCTCAAGATAGGGAGCAATAGAGGGCTCTTGTGAACATGGTAATGAACTTTCGGGTTCCATAAAATTTTGGGAGTTCTTGAGCAGCTGCACAATTGGCGGCTCCTGAAGAAGGGCTCAGCTCCATGTTGTTAGTTAGTTGAGTTCATACCTCACAGGAAATACTTGTACACTGCCTCTCGGTGTGTAATTATGCTTTGAAATGCATACGTCGGCAGTAGGAAAACTGAAATAAATAAAACACCTACTTCAATTAAAAATTGTAATTTTAGTGATGTACAATAGGCTATTAACGACCAATGTTATGTTAATAACGGAATTATAAAATTTGATTCGATACCCGAAGAATTTCAACAGAATTGCCATTTTTTAAAATTCAGATTATATTTGTAAACTCTGGCCAACTGAAAATGATGTAAGGAATTGAAACATGACGCGGTAGTACATACAATGACAAACAAGTATTATATTTAGTTATATACATATTATATAAGTGATTTGTTTTGTGACGGATATATGTACATCAATTTATAAACAACCCCTTCCAGTTGTTGGTGAGAGGCAGAACTACACTTAGATGGCGGTAGTTGGTTTAACACTCTCTGACGCAAATGCTGTAGCATCAGTCCAGGAACATTTATTTCCAGATCACGTATAAGACCAAAAATGGAGTTTCCCACAAAGGCAAGGTAAAGTCTCTGTGCTTAACTACTTAGGCAGTATGCCATGAAGGCCTATGTGGGAGTGGATGTATAGATTCAGGTATTCTTGAACTCCGCAATGTTTTGAGGTGCCTGACCAGCTTCACTCCCCGACCGATTTACCCCATTACCTATCGGAGAGGAAGTTGGGTGGGCCCCAGAACCGGTCTGGACGACGTTGAGAAAAAAAAACCTTGCTCCTACTGGGATTCGAACTCCAACCCCTCTGTCATCCAGTCCGTGACCATTCGCTATACCGACTGCGCTCTCCCAGCTCCTGATAGAGTTTTCCATGCACCGTGTAAACCATTTCACAGATATTGGTGAAATTCGATATAGGAAACATTCACAAAACTTTGCCCAAATCCGATTTTAAAAAAATATTGACTGATAACAAACTTCAGTTTGCATAAATGCACAAATAAAATGTTCCTCCATGTTCCTTGAATACTATATCATGACAATTAAAATTTACGTTTTTGCGTGCCGGAATTTCACTCCCTGCTTCTGCTTTCGACAATTTCACTTACATTATTATTCCTCTAGTACACAACACGTTTGTTATACATTATACATATTAGCATTTGAATTACCCATATACTGATACTTACTTACTTACTTACTCACGGAACTGAGCCCTTCTGGAGGAGCCGCCAATTCTGCAGCTACTCAAGAATTTCCCAGCATTTTATGGAACCCGAAGGTTCATTACCGTGTTCACAAGAGCCCTCCACTGGTCCCTATCCTGAGCCAGATCTATCCAATCCATACCATCCCAGCCTGTCTCTCTAAGATCCATTTTAATAATGTCCACCCACCTACGCCTTGGTCTTCCCAGTGGTCTCTTTCCTTCTGGCTTACATGACCTGCCCACCTCATCCCTCTTGACTTGATCATTCTAATTATACTTGGAGAAGAGTACAAGTCATGAAGCTCCTCATTATGTAGTTTTCTCCAACCTCCTGTCACTTCATCTCTCTTCGGTCCAAATATTCTACTCCCACTAATTAATAAACATCTAAATCTATTTCTACGTCAGTCTAATTATTTCTTAACATCCTTTCCCATTTCAATTTATATTTAATCATACATATTCCTGTTACTTCCATTGTTCTGTATTCTTGTATCTTGTTAACCTCTTAACACTTGCTTGTGCATAGATATTCTTAGACTTCGTGCCCAAAATGTGGTTCTCCGAATCTTTCTTCGTTCTCACCCCAATATTTTCCATTAAGCCATGAAGTGTTTAACATATTTTGTTGAAATTCAATACATTGGTCTTTCTTTAGTTCCCACTTAATTATTCCCAATTTTAAGTAGGATAATAACATTCAAAGTGCACCCCCTGGAAATCTTGCGTTCCGAATATGCATAAACTTTCTAAATTTATGAAGAGAACAGTCTTCTGGGATGTGGCGCCGTGTTGGTATTGTGTTAACCGACGTTTCGGAGGAACGTATCTCCTCCATCTTCAGGGTAGAAGAAGAAAAGAAGAAATTACGCAAGCAAAGAACCGGTGTGAGCAGGTGCAAATAAATTAATGTCGAGAAAACTGTTCTCTTCATAGTCACCGCCGTGAAAACCTCAAATTTTACATTTCAAAACTTATGTTTCAGGAAATGCGGGTAACAAAGCGATACACATAGACAAGACGTAACACGGATGAATGCCAGGACGTAAGCGTCGAGTAAGAGATAGTTACGTTACGTCCATAGAATTATCTGGAAGCTAGATAGCTTACGGTGTTATCGGCTGAGCTGTGATGCAGTGCGGTTCTTACGTGCGTGACATGCGTGCGTGTTAGCATGGTGCGCATCCGGTACACGGAACTGTGACAGTAGAAGGCGCACCGTCGCGGAGATCGGCCAATCTGTGAGTCTCTCTCCGTCACACGTGCAAAGTATTCGTAATTCGAGTCAAGTGACAGTTATGTAAAACATCGGAGAACTTATTGCCGTACATAACTGACCGTCTTATCTCAATTCATGTGACATTTTATAAAAGAAACGAGTGGACAGAATATGCATAAAAGTTGGTGTTTATAAACTGGGGAGAAATGAAAACAAAATATATTTTTATTTCATTTTGTATGTTAAAAATTTCGACTGGAACATGAAAATAGAATTATAATGAGTTTATTTCTTTTTTGCCGAAATTAAATTATTTTGGTCTGAAACAGAAGGAAAAATATTTGTTTTAGTCAATTTCTTCCAATGTAACACAAAATTCACGAAGTTTAAAACACGATTAAATTATTGAGATTTATTTCAAAACTTAAGAGTTCCAGAGTTAGATAAAGGTAATAACTTTAATTTCATGGTCTACTCTCCACGTCAAAATTAAAATATTACTATTCTGTCTTCATTTGTGAAACGTGTGTCGAAAAAAGTCATTGCCATGTTTCAATCAACTGTACATATATTACAAATATGAGGAGTTTTAAGTATGAAACGAATATTACACACCTCACGTGTATAATATAACTTATATTATTATAAAGTCTCTAAATAACCTATAATTTTTAATAATGTAGTAAAACATGAGGATAAAATTAAATCCGATGAAGGTTAATATGACGACTTAAATTCGTGCATTAAAAATATTTTACTCAAAAATCCAAAATTCTTGTATTTATTGTGTTATATAAAAGACTCACTGATAAAATACCAATGGGACTTATTGTTATATCAATGTCAAATATATAATTCTGAAAAGCCTGAGTTACATAAAACAATATATAAATAAACAATTATATACGAGTTTACTGTAATAATTTAATAAGAACATTTGAAAGAAGTGAAAGTGATGTGTAAGGAATTACTATATTTCACTGATAAACCAAACGGCACTTATCAATACAAACCCGATAAGCCTTCATCAGTGATAACGGTAGATAACTACTAAGAGTTAAAATCGCATTAAGTAGTTAACAGTATTCTGACACCTTAAGTTTGTTCAATTAAATACCAGACATCAGTTCCTATGTTTTTTCTTATATTTGTGCATAAATAGCAGTTTAATTAATTGTACAATATTTTGTGTTAGTAGTTATGTTTGGGGATCAAAGTTCTGTGATATATTAAATTATCGATCTTTCTGTCCTAGATATGAGATATAGAATTGATTTCTTTAAAAAGTTGTGAGTGAAAACGTTTAAGATATTTTCTGCCATGTCCGATATGGAGGTGAAAGCTTTTGTAATACTTGGACAACGAGACGTTTCGAAACAAACTGGTTCCAGAAGGATATGTTTACTGAGAAGTATGAAATACAATTTCGCTCTGTGTTGGTTGGTTCTGCTGTCAGTGACAATCAGTGCAGCTGCTGAGGTGAGTTGTTTAAATCATTTCTAATTCAGAAAAAAGAATTATACATTAGTAGAATATTTCATAGTGCTCTGAAAATATGATGATGGTGTCAATTCTTGATGACATATTTGTATTTCCTCTTTTGCGCAAAAATTCCGTTTTTACCTGCTATCACGGAATATTTTACGCCACACTGATCACCATTTATAAAACGGCCAGGCTCGTATGTGTTCAAGGGTAAATAAATTTTACTTTTTACAAAAATTATTTCTATTCACATAGGTTCTCAACTGATAACAAATATCTCACTTATGATACACTTACTAAATATCAATTGCCAAAAATGACTGAAACATAGAATACTAAGGTATGAGACTCCGGGAAGTTAGACAATTACCGACATTTGAAAGAATATATTGCCTCTGTCTTCGGGGCTGAAAATTAAGCCAAGCATATAGCATAAAATCTGTGAAATTCAACGGCACAACACGGCGTCATATCCCGAAAACAGTACATGCAATAGTGACCGCTGTGAGAACTTTAATTCAAAGAAAATTTAGCACGCCAAATAACTTCAATTCCTAACCATAAATAATGCTCTTGTTGATATCTAGCCTCATCTTCATATGAGTAACCCTTATGTTTCAACAAACGAGATTCTGAGTACCGAGTCACTGTGTCCATAGTGTAAAAGTCACCACTGAATTGCTGAGAGGAAGGGTGTAGTGAAGGTACAACCACATTTCATGTGTATGCCATGTCACAGGCCGCGCCATAGCTCAAGCGGTTAGTGCTGGCTTCCCACCGCGGCGGCCCAACTTCGATCCCGGGTCTGGTCAAGTGGGATTTGTGGTTGACAAAGTGACGCTGGGGCAGGTTTTGTCTGAGTACTTCGGTTTCCCCTGCCAATCTTCATTCCACCAATTGTTCCACAATCACCCTCACCTATAATCTGGGGCTGGTACAATAGGCCAGAAGTGGCCGCAGTGCAAGGGACTTAGCCCACCCCACTAGCAATAAGAAAATGCCATGCCACAATCTTAAATGTAAGTTAGAGTTAATTTTCAAAATTTATTTACTATACTGACAAACACTACTAATGAATTAAGAGCACGTAATCTTTAAACTCGTAAGGAATCGAACGTTTTTCTTTTAATTCGGAAGCTCCTGACTCCAAATTTCAGTCTGGAGACCATACTTTTCAGTTTTATCCAGTTTCTGGGGGTAAATGCTAAAACTCTACAACATCCGAGCTTACGACGATGCATAACCTAAGAAATGTAAATAAATTGTTTAGAAATGAAACATTCAAGCCAAAATGTGAATATCTCACGTCTAAATATTAGCTATAAATTTATGAAAATGTACAGGTACGTTCTTCATGAGGAAATTTAGAGGAGATTGAACTCGGGCAATGCTTGTTACCATTCAGTCCAGAAGTTGTGAACTCGGGTAGTGCTTGAAGAATGCAGTCTTCTGGGATTTGGCACCGTGTATATGTGGTGTTAACCGACGTTTCGGAGGAACGTATCGCCCCCATCTTCAGGGTTGAAGAAAAAGTATAAGTAAATCTGCAAGCGACAACACCGTGAGACACGATAAAGCAGACTGAAGAGTATACCGTTAGAGCAGAGAGGGAAGGGGATGAACTGCAAGTAAACAAGTGAAAGCAGTGGTGTGGGAGGGGTGGGGGAAGGGAGCCGGGACAAGCGATTTTGTGTAGGGGAGAGATAGATAACACCCCCCCCCCTCAGCTCACAGTTAAAGCCCAGCCAGTTAACCTTGCTATCTCTCCCCTACACAAAATCGCTTGTCCCGGCTCCCTTCCCCCACCCCTCCCACACCACTGCTTTCACTTGTTCACTTGCAGTTCATCCCCTTCCCTCTCTGCTCTAACGGTATACTCTTTAGTCTGCTTTATCGTGTCTCACGGTGTTGTCGCTTGCAGATTTACTTATACTTTTTCTTCAACCCTGAAGATGGGGGCGATACGTTCCTCCGAAACGTCGGTTAACACCACATATACACGGTGCCAAATCCCAGAAGACTGCATTCTTCATAGTCACCGCCGTGAAAGCCTCAAATCTTACTTCGGGTAGTGCTTGTTAGCATTCAGTCCAGAACCTTTTGTCTTCTCGTCTGCTGTCCAAAAACATAACAATTAGAATATACAAAACTATTATTTTGCATGTGGCTCTGTATGGGTGTGAAATTTGGTCTCTGACATTAAGATAGGAACATAGACTGAGGGTGTTTGAGAACAGGGTGTTGAGAAGAATATTTGGACCGAAGAGAGATGAAGTGACAGGAGGTTGGAGAAAACTGCAAAATGAGGAGCTTCATAACTTGTACTCTTCTCCAAGTATAATTAGAATGATCAAGTCAAGGAGGATGAGATGAGCAGGGAATGTAGCACGAATGGGGGGGGGAGGAATGTATAGGTTATTGGTAGGAAAGCCAGAAGGAAAGAGACCACAGGGAAGACCAAGATGTAGGTAGGTGGACAATATATTAAAATGAAACTTAGAGAGAAAAGATGGGATGGTATGGAATGGATTGATCTGGCTCAGTACAGGGACCAGTGGAGGTCTGTTGTGAACACGGTAATGAAGTTTCGGGCTCCATAAAATGCTGGAAATTTCTTAAGTTTAGCTACAAAATAGCGGCTTCTCCAGAAGGGTTCAGCTCCATGAGTGAGTAAGCAAATACCTTCACACAATTCGTGACTGGATAATTTTTAAGAATGAAGGTAAATTTATCTCTTTGCTTAAATAAGCACTAAGCCATGAATGCGTATTGGAGTCTGGAGGTACGGTTCCAGTTATTCTCAACCTCGGAACTAGATAAATATGAAGGGTAAGATTTATGTCCCCATTGTTTTACCCCTGGGGTAAGTGTGCCTTTTGTCCACTGGCGAGGGGACTGGGTGGGTCACAGCCTGTGTGAAATGCTGGTAAAAAGATAAAGTTGTCCCTGTGCTTAACTAATTAAACAGTACGTCATGAAGGCGTATGAGGGAGTGGATGTACAGATCCACACTTTCTTGACCTTGGCAATAGCTGGAAGTTAGTTTGAAAACGCTCATAAAATGAAACATCTCTGCTCCCCCTCCCCATGAATAGAAATTCTATTTTCCTGAGTTCCATTCTGTATCCTAGTCACTGTACTGGGGAACGTAGCCATAAAATCTGGCCATGTTTACAAAATTAAGAAAAGCTTCAGAGCCGCCATATGCAAATAAATAGCAAACATGTATTCGTAAACGTACGAATGTAAACATCACTTGCAGATTTCATACAGAAGTAAAGTAAACTAAATCAACTTGAACTAAACTACTAGCGTTGTAAGAGCATGCAACTTTCATGCTGATTATAGAGTATTTTGATTTATCAAATACAGGCACCAAAATTTTACCGCTAATTAGTATGATTCAGACCGATGTAAAGACCTACCCACTGTGTGAGAACTGAGATCCTCAGAGAGGTGAACGTGTGATGTGACGCCGTGTAGTCTCATTGATCTACTCGCTGATTCTAACATTTAACCAAAATGGGTTAAAAATAAGATGGTCACGTTGAATAGTAATACAGAATATTCAGAAACCAACCCACGGGTTTAAGAGTCTCTGGCCTAGTGATCAGAGTTCCTGGCTACAGATACAGAGATCCGGGTTTGATTCCCGACGCTACCAGATTTTTTCTGAGAAGTGGTGGGTATAGAACGGGGCCCACTCAGCTTTGTGAGGATAATTGAGGAGCTATTTCAAGGAAATAGCGGTTCCGGTCTAGAAAACCGAAATCGGCCGTGGGGATTCGCTGCGCTGCCCACGCGACACCCTCTATCCATAAAAGTTGGTACTAACTTCGCCGACAAGCGGCGGTCGCTCGGTCGGTATACTTCGCTTGCAGACTAAAACCAGGGAGTTTGCTTTTTGTTTTATACTTTTTCAACGCGTAATAATAATTAAAAACAAATAAAATGAAGATTAAAATCAAATAATTTCTGTCGACACTTTTTCAGGTATGCCTTATCCGTAGCACGACATATGTTTAACAGATAACTGATTTCTACCAATACACGCCTCTGTAACTCTGGGGTCTCTCTTACAACAGCTACAGTGATACAATTTTTAGTACAGGCAGACCAGTCATCTGATGGTTCTAGATAGTGCGTTAGAGAATTAGACTACTACAATAATGATGGTATTATTTTTTTATTGCTAGTGGGGTGGGACTAATTCCTTGTACTGCAGCCACTTCTGGCCTATTGTACCAGCCCCAGATGATAGGTGAGGGTGATTGTGGAGGAATTGGTGGAATGAAGATTGGTAGGGGAAACCGAAGTACTCGGAGAAAACCTGCCCCTGCACCACTTTGTCCACCACAAATCCCACTTGACCAGACCCCGGGATCGAACCCGGACCGCCGCGGTGGGAATCCAGCGACTAACCGCTTGAGCTATGGCGCGGCCTACATAATGATGGTATACTATATGGTTCTTTCTTCGGTACCTGAGGTAAGCGGAGTGACCATGTTCACTCCACAAGTGATAAAAGGCAACTAGTAAATTGTGAAAGTCAGAAAAGACACTGCAGAGGTTTTATGCTCATTCAGCAGTGGGGCCAATCGCGGTAAATTATGTGGCCCTTTTGGGGATACATATTGGCTCATCCTAGTACTTTTCAAAAGTCATACCCTGCTCTTTTGCGCGATACTTTAAAATTAATGCTACTTTACCTATATCTATATAACCATCTGTTGCAAGACACAGCAAATGATTTTATGTTTTCATTCTTGACTGAGAAAGACTGTATTCTTGGTTGTGGAGCGATGTAAACTAGCATAAAAGTATTAGCATTTCGGAGGAACAAACTGCCTCCATCTTCAGGATATAAGAATAATGAGGTTATAAGAGAAAAAAAAACGGAGCTGCGAGCAGGTGAATTGGGGGATGGTTGCAGTTGAAAGGGCGGGGTCAAATATATGAAGGTCAAAATGGTGGGAGAAGAAAATTATATAGGG